ATAAGGGACACTCTGGAAGTGAGCAAGCAGTTAAGCATGCTAGAACCAGGGGATATGTAGAGATGTGTTAGGACTTGGGGCTTAAAAGTTGGAGGGCACTCAGTCATGACCTTGGGGTGTTATGCTCAGGAGGTAGGCATGAGGCCAACCTGCCAATAACATCTAATCACCCACCAATTCCTAGAGCTGACTTGCTACAAATTCTAACTCTAACCTCGAGGTGATAAGGAATGAATGAAGGATACTGACGGAAGTGGTATATTAGCTGGAGTGAGGAAGGAACACAGAAGTGGTGAGATTCAAGGGACCCAGTAAATAACCCACTGCTTCCCACCCAAGTCTGAATGGTTTGCAAAATGGAACAAAAACCATATGAAGACCAAAATATCACCCTTTCTGCAGATGAAGTCGATATGGAAGAATGATCAGAGTAGGATGATGCATGTACATCACAGAGGTCAGGGAATGAAATTACTCTGCTTAATCAGCCCAGGATCAGGTGTTCTGACCCAAATGGACCACATGTGAGACAGGTATATTCTTTCACAAATTTGGACTCCTGTTACCAAAAACAGAAGGATGGGTCCTGAGCAGCAACCATGTCCACTCGCTACGTGTGTGTGTGTGTGTGCGTGCGTAATGACTCATATCCCACACGATCCCTTTATGTACAGTCGATCATGCTGCTATGATGAGAAAAAGTTGAAGGAAACTCCAAATTCCGATGTTGCTTTAAGCAAGCCACTTGCTCTTTCTGGATCTAAAATGCTTTCTCTCCATAACCAAATACCATAAAATAAGAATCCTCTTGGCCCATTCCCTGCTTTAGGAATGTTGAGCTTATAAATGAGGTCATGTCTGCCAAGTGCTATGATCTCCTTGAAGACAAATTCTGCACAAGTATGTAGGATTATTAGCCAAGTTGCTCAAAAACTAGTCTGTGCATGAATGCATTAGAAGGCAAACAGGACCAGGGGCGAATAATAGGACTCACCATTTCCAAGGGCCACTTGATTCCTTTGTTTCCGTGACATGCAACACCTCCCAGTTACCTCTTCTGAACATCCATACTGCCAGGGGGGACTGTTTTAGCCAACTTAGGCTCCCTGGAATGATGGGTTAAAACATTTTTAGAGGAAAGCCAGCAGGATGCCAAGCAACTGCCACATTAGAGGAGTTTTTTTCAGGAAGATAATTTTAAAGAAATCCTGTGTGGGTTTCAAATACTGATAGTTAAATACAAAGCCATTCATCAAGGTTCTTACATGCATAAATTGAAAGCAATCCGGAGTTCAATGAAAAAGGGAAAGGGCTCTTTTATGTTTGATTTCATAAGGAGGAGGAGGGGAGGAGGAGGAGGAGGAGGACTTTCTTTCTGGTCTTTTCTTTTGCCGCTTAGAAATTATGGATTTGAGGAGCGCCTGGATGGCTCAGTTGGTTAAGCATCTGCCTTCAGCTCAAGTCATGATCCCCGGGGCCTGGGATGGAGTCCCGAATCAGGCTCCCTGCTCAGCAGAGAGTCTGCTTCTCCCTTTCTTTCTCCTGCTTCTCTCCCTGCTTGTGTTCATATGCTCTCTCTCTCTCTCAAATAAATTAATAAAATCTTTAAAAAAAGAAATTATGGATTTGAGATCTGAAAAGGGCCTTAGAAGTCAGCCTAGCCACCTCCCCCTTCCCTTTTTCAAATAACATATCGGTGATGAAGATCAGTGAGGTAAACTAAATTTTCTGAGCTTACACAGTCCATTGGCGACATAGTGGGGACTAGGGCTCAGGTGTCCACCTCCCCGTTTGGTATTCTTCATATTCAATTATCCTGTCTCCCAGTCTTAGGAGCTTGTGCAAGCCACTTTGCCTCTGAGAGCCCAGCTGTCTCATCTATAAAATGTAACTAGACCCTAAACTAACTAAAGAAAAAGGCAACTGGAAAATAAGACCTCTTGATGGACCTTCTAGTTTTCAATAAACCAGTCCACAAATAAAGACCTAACAGTAAGTAATGGAAGACCAGTCAAAACTAATTTAAACAAATAAAAGTTTTATTTTCCTCTCATTACAGGAAGTCAGGAGGTGAACCCAATAGCTGGGTTTAGTTTCATGATGCCATGACGGACCCAGCAACCCTTCCTTTCTATATCCTCATACTTAGTATTGCCATCTTATTCTCATTACTGTTGCCTTGTGGTTGCAAGATGGCTTCTGCAGTCCAAATGTCACATTCTCTCCCAAACTTTCATTTAATACTTTAAAAATACTAAATAGGTAACAAGGTTCTTCACTCTTACAGTCATGTTAGCTATAGTTCTGTAGATCTTCCTATCAAACTGAGGAAGACCATTCTCTTCACGGTTGATGAGAGTTTTCAGTTTAAATCATGAATGAGTGGAGTTTTGTCAAATGTTTTTTTTCTACGTGGATTGAGATAGTGTGAATCATACAAATTGTCTCCTGTACACCATTTATGTAATGAATAACATCAGCTGATTTTTAAAAGGTTGAACCAGCCTTGCATTTTTTAAAGATTTTATTTATTTATTCATGAGAGACACAGAGAGAGAGAGAGAGAGAGAGAGACAGACAGACAGACAGACACAGGCAGAGGGAGAAGCAGGCTCCACGCAGGGAACCCGACGTGGGACTCGATCCCGGGTCCCCAGGATCACACCCTGGGCCGAAGGTGGCACAAAACCGCTAAGCCACCCGGGATGCCCCAGCCTTGCATTTCTTGAAGCAATTCCACTTGGTTAAGCTGTCATACTTTTTCTAGATATTGCTGGATTTGATTTGCAAATATTTTGTTAGAATTTTTGCACCTGTACTCATAAAAGAAATTGATGTGTAATTTTCTTTCCTTTCTGTTTCTTGTCATCAGGATTGTTTTGACCTTATATTGTGAGTTAGGAAGTGTTCCCTCCTCCTGGATTTCTCTGAATTTATATAAGATTGGTAATTTATATAAGATTTCTTAAAAGCTTGATAAAATCTGCTTTTTTCCCTAATTTTTTAAAAAAAAATTTTAAAGCTTTTATTTATTTATTCATGACAGCAGAGAGAGAGAGAGAGAGAGAGAGAGAGAGATGCAGAGACACAGGCAGAGAGAGAAGCAGATTCCATGCAGGGAGCCTGACGTGGGACTCGATCCCGGGTTTCCAGGATCACACCCCAGGTGGAAGGTGATGCTAAACCACTGGGCCCCTGGGGCTCCCCTAACTTTTTTTTAAAATTTATTTATTACTTATTTTAGACAAAGAACACACATGAGCTAGAGAGGAGCAGAGTGGGAGAGAGAGAGGGAGGGGGAAAGAATCTCTAGCAGACTCCCTGCTGAGCATGGAGCCTAGTGACAGGGCCTGATCCCACAACCCTGAGATCATGACCTGAGCCCAAACCAAGAGTTGGACGCTTAACTGACTGAGCCACCCAGGCACCTCTCTTATACTAACTTCTTAAGGTAGAAACTTAATTGATTTCAAACATTTTTTCATTATAACATCTTCTTTATCCATTCACTTGGCTATTTCCATATTTTGGCAATAATAGACATTGTTGCTATAAACATGGGGTGTGTGTATCCCTTAAAATTAGTATTTTTTTATTCTTTGGGTAAATACCTAGCAGCATGATTGCTGGATCAGGGTAGGGTAGCTCTATTTTTAACTTTTTGAGAAACCTCCATACTGTTTTCCAGAGTGGGTATACTACTTTGCATTCCTATCAACAGTGCAAGAGGGTTCCCCTTTTCTTACATCCTTGCCATCACTTGTTGTTTCCTGTATTATTAATTTTAGCCATTCTGACAAGGGTGAGGTGGTGCTTATCATAGTTTTGATTTGTATTTCCCTGATGATGAGTGATGGTGAGCATCTTTTCATGTGTCTGTTAGCCATCTGTATGTCTTTGGAAAAATGACTATCCGTGTCTTCTCCCTTTTTTAAATGGCTTATTCACTTTTTTGGGTGTTGATTTTTATAAGTTCTTTATATACTCTAGATACTAACCCTTTATCAGATATGTCATTTGCAAATATCTTCTCCCATTCCATAGGTTGCCTTTTAATTTAGTCGATTATTTCCTTCACTGTGAGAAGCTTTTTATCTTGATGAAGTCCAATAGTTTATTTTTGCTTTTGCTTCCCTTGCCTCAGGAGACATACCTAGTAATAGGTTGCTATGGCGGATGTCAAGGAGGTTACTGCCTGTGTTCTCTTCTGGAATTTTAATGGTTGAATCATTAGATTGTACGCCTGAAACTAATATTGCCTTGTTTGTTAACTAGAATTTAAATTAAAACATAAGGGGAACCCTGGGTGGCTCAGCGGTTTTGGCACCTGCCTTTGGCCCAGGGCGTGATCCTGGAGCCCTGGGATCGAGTCCCACATTGGGCTCCCTGCATGGAGCCTGCCTCTCTCTCTGGGTCTATCATGAATAAATAAAGTCATTTAAAAAATTAATTAAAACCGAAAAAAAAGTAAAGTTGTAAATATGTCGAGTTGAGTAAAAGTGCCTGGTTCTTCTTAGATTTTCTTTTTTTTTAAGATTTTATTTATTTATGAGATACAGAGAGAGAGGCAGAAGCACAGGCAGAGGGAGAAGCAGGCTCCATGCAGGGAGCCTGATGTGGGAAATCGATCCCTGCCCTCCAGGATCACGCCCTGGGCTGCAGGCAGGCTCGAAACCACTGAGCTACCCAGGGATCCCCTCTTCTTAGATTTTCAAGTGTTATTTTCCATAGTCTTTGGGAGCACAAAGGAAAGATAATCGAGGTGTGGTAAGCACACTGTGGCTGGCTGACTACCAGACCAGCTACCACGGGCGGTAACCAAGCTGCACTACCCCTTACTCCTGCGACGCCACTGTCACTTTTGGCAAGGACTGCTCCCAGGCTCACTGGCACAGCGCTGCGCTGCACGCCAGTCATCCCGGCGCAGGCCCCGCCCCCGGCGCAGGCCCCGCCCCCGGCGCAGGCCCCGCCCCCGGCGTGCGCGCTCCCGGCGCGGGTGGTGACGCGCAAGGGCCGGCGCCGGGTGGCCGTTCGGCTCCCGGAAAGGACCGGCGCCTCCAGGAAGCCGGGTCCGTGTTGCAGCCGCCGCGCCGGGGTGTCCGTGATGCCCTCCACTCGCAGCTTCCCGTTGCCGGGAGTCCCGGCCGCCGAATCGGGCGCTGCCGAGCAGGTGAGGCGGCCTTACCGGCGCGGATGAGGAGAGGGCGGGGAGGCTGCTGGCCGGGCCGGGCCGGTCGGAGTGTGGGGCCGGCGTGGCGGCGAGGGCCGCGGACGAGCCCCCCCGGCCCCTACTGGCGGTCTTGCCTGCGTCCGCGCAGCCCCCGCCGGCCGGCCGGGCGGGCGGCCACATCCGGGCGCCCCGGAGGTCAGCCCCCGTGACCCCGGGCGGCAGGTGCTCTCCCCCAGCCCCCGGCCGGACAAACTGGCGTCGTGCTGTGGCGCCTCCTCCGGTGACCGGCGGCTGGATTTTCCCTCGCTCCCTCGCGGCGTGTGCGGATCTGGCCCCACCGGGAGGGACCTGGCCGGGGAGAGGGGATGCTGGACCGACTGGTTCTTGCCTGCCGCCCCGTCCGAACACTGGTGCCGTCAGCCTCGGTCTTGCTGTGCTCTGCTTTTACCAAGTTTCATGCTTTAGATTGCTCCTTGGACAAATGGAACTAATCGGGCAGTACAGTGATAGAGCAGCGTTTCTCGAACTCGCGTGGTGCGTGGACACCTTTCAAGGGGACCGGCCTCATTCCCTCGAATATACCCCAGAACTCGCAGGGGTCCTCGGACCCCATTTAGATGAACGCTGGGGCAGGGCATTTTCAGAGAGCATTTATCAGGAAAGAAAAGAGATGCTTTACAGATCTGGGACTTCGATGCTAGAAGATAAACTAGAAATTCTTACTATTTTTTTATAAACTAGAAATTATTAAAGAATTCTAAATTAGAGACTCAGATCGCTAGTTTGATTTCACATGTCTGCCTTTACCGTGTCTCGATTTGCGTAATGAAAATTTTCCAGCCTCGGAGTTTTAAAAGAATCGTATTTTTGTGTTATCTTGTGTTAGCTGTTACCTAGTTTTTGTATTAGGTTTATTCAGTTTGACACATAGCAGAATTTTAGAATGGGGTGCTAATTTGCATTAGTAGTTTAATGATTTCTTTGTGTTTAACCTTAACATTGATTTATCACTTTTGTTTGTTGCGTATTGTATCTATGGTTTACATTCTTCCAGGTGTAATAGGGAGGCTTGATCTCAACTCCTGTGTCTATAGTCTAGAAAGAAGAAAAAAAAAAAGTAAAGTTGATCTAAGGATTTATATGTATATATGTTTTTAAAGATTTTATTTATTTATTCCTGAGAGACACAGAGAGAGAGAGGCAGAGACACAGGCAGAGGGAGAAGCAGGCTCCATGCAGGGAGCCTGACGTGGGACTCCATCCCGAGACTCCAGGATCAGGCCCCGGGCTGAAGGCGGCGCTGAACCGCTGAGCCACCCAGGCTGCCCAGGATTTATATTCTATACATATTTATTCAGCATGTTTATTTAAAATAAACTGCAGTTGGAGTGCCTGCCTGCCCCAGTCACTAAAGCAAGCAGCTCTTGATCTCAGGGTCATCAGTTCAAGCCCCATTTTGGGCATGAAGCCTACTTCAAAAAAAGAAAACATTAAATAAAATAAACTACACTTGAGTAAAGAGAAGATTCAGAATGTAGGAAAACAATAGAAAGTAAAACAGGTTAAATCTTGTCAAAGAAAAATATTGGACCAGGGCTTTGAAAGAAGTGTAATATCAAGAGTAGGACATACTCTTGTATGTAGTAAAGGCCAGAGGCAAGAATGAGAAGAGTGTATGGTGGGCAACAAGGGACCCACCTCACTAGAGCAGAGAGATGTTATTTGGGGCTGAGGAGAGAAAAAGTTGATAAAATTAGATGGTACCAGTTGATGAATGTTAAGGTTTCAGATGCTACACAGGAAGTTGGTGTTGAGCCAGTCTCCAGAAGTTTCTTGAGCTGATCATATTTTGAAGGTAGCATTTTACCCAGGTATTTCTGAAGTGTGGTGTTGAGGGTAAAGGTCGAAGGTAGGTGATCTCCCTAGAATCTCTCCTGAGGTAGTGATGTCTGCTGTGGTGATTTTAGATGTGTGAACTAACTGTGATGTTTGAAAAAGATTTGTCAGGCCCCAATGAATGATAAAATATCATTGCAAATAAACAGGATTGAAGGTTAAGAACCAGGTGACCCCAGTCAATAGTGATACCTCTCTTAGGCCTGGAGAATTTGGAAGGTGGTCATAGTTTCTGCCAAAAGATTGTGACCCCAGACTTGGATTAAACACGTTGCAGTAACAGGGTGTCAGTAAGCTCAGGATGTGGAATTGGAACCTGAGGAAAGTCAGAGTTGCAGATTTCAGAAACTGCAGAAGGGATGCAGGACAAGTGTGACCAGAAAAAGGTCATTTAAAATAAGGACCAGGGAAGCCCCGGTAGCTCAGCGGTTTAGTGCCGCCTTCCGCCCAGGGCCTGATCCTGGGGTCCCGGGATCGAGTCCCACGTCGGGCTCCCTGCATGGAGCCTGCTTCTCCCTCTGCCTGTGTCTCTACCTCTCTCTCCCTCTCTCTCTCTCTCAAGAATAAATAAAATAAAATCTTTAATAAAATAAGGACCAGAGTTTTGCAAATGAATAAAGGTAGGAAGAACTTTGAATAGGGCTCGTTATTCAGAAATAAAAATTTTTAAAATAAATATTGGAGAAAATTGGCCAGCCCCAGATGGCTTAGCGGTTTAGCGCCACTGTTGGCCCCGGGGTGTGATCCTGGAGACCAGGGATGGAGTCCCTCGTCGAGCTCCCTGCATGGAGCCTGCTCCTCACCCTGCCTGTATCTCTGCCTCTCTTTCTCTCTGTGTCTCTCATGAATAAATAAATAAATAAATAAAATCTTTAAAATGAAAAAATAAAAAAAAATACTGGATAAAATGTAGATCATAAGTGCAACTAAGAGCATTCTTCTTGAAACAAAGAATGAATTGTTATTTTAATGTCTTTCCCCACAGACTGAGTGAAGCATAGCATCCTGCTCTTTGCTTTGGCTTCTCACTCTCCCAAGACAGTTGTTTCTTTTTCTTTTTTAAGATGTATATATTTATTTGAGAGAGAGAGCACACATGCACAGTTGGAGGAGGGGCAGAGTGAGAGAATCTCCAGCAGACTCTCTGCCAAGCCCAGAGCCCACCTCAGGGCTCCACCCCACTACCCATGAGATCATGACCTGAGCCAAAACCAAGAGTCGGATACTCAACCTACCAGGCCACCCAGGCGCACCAATAGTTGGTTCTTACAAAGTTTTGCCTAAGTGTTTGTGGACCTCTTTGATTATTCAAGGTCCTCTTGTAATCTTGATATTTAGATCATTCTTTTCTTCATGTCATCTTACCTTTTCTTACTCAGAGGTCTATCTAGCTGTTCCAGAGTCTCATTTGTCTATGATTTTGTTTGCTTGTGATTTGAGAATTTGCTAATAACGTCTGTCTCGTTGTGTGCTGCATTTTTCACCAGAAGAGCCATTTGACTTTGCAGTTGATTTAAGTTGTTTTTACATACAACAGTTAGGACCAACAGTGAGAAACTGCCAAAGACGTTGAACCATGACCACTAGAGACCACTAGCTTCTCTCCACCAGAGAATATTCAGCTAAGGAGGGCCCCCCACTAGCTGAAACTTTGAGTTAATACATCTCTCTGGTGGTAGGTCTAACACAAGTTAGGCCTTTTAAAAACATGGCAGTTTTATGTAACATTAGAGTTTGCCTTCATAAACCCTGGTGCCAAAATTCTTAGCCACAAATACAATTGGAGTTTACATTTTGAAATCAAATTACCATATTGCTGACTCTGGGTAATATTCAGCCATACTTTTGTCCTAAAAAAAAGTAATTGCTTCGGCAGTTTATAAGCTGTCCTATTTTCCTCTGTCTTTAACCACAAATGTTGTCATTTAGAAAAATATCTATTTATCCTTTTTGTCAAAATCCTCGCATATCTCAAAAAAAAAGTTCTGAGACAAACATCAGATTAAATAACGTTTACCAAGTTTGCTACAATTGTTCTAAACAGAGCAACTTCCTTGAAAAATGTTCTCTTTTCCCTTCTTCCATTGAAAGTGTACCTCTCACCTCCAAAAATCTTCCTGTTCCCTAGCCTCATTGTGCTCTTCTCCAAACTGTTACAGCAAGAGTCTGGATAATTTAACATTGCCTTCTGTTGTTCTCTTATTTTCTGGGTATTGGAATTTTTTTCTGTAACCAGTCTGGAAACTCCTTGAAATCTGGAGCCACATTTGTTACTCCTCTGTGCCCTTCATATAGCCTCCAGGCACACGTCATTGGAGATCTTTCTTCCCCCAGGACCTTGACTTTAAGCTGCTAACTAGAACATTCTTTTCTTTTGTTCTTAGTTCAGCTATAATTATTGATTTTTTAAAATGTTCAGAGTCAAATTCCTATGTCACAGTTTTTAAATAGGCTTTCTTGAGGTATCCAGAAGAGGATTTGATGCTAGAAACTGGAGATTCATCAGTTGAATCTTGTTAAAAATAGTTGTGTCTCTTCTGCTGATAAAATTAATATATGCCCTTTAAGAAAGGCAAACCTAAGGAAGAAAATAGATGATCCGTTAATCCACTACTAAGCAATAACCAACCACTGTTGAGATTTTGGTTTCTGTCCTTCCATTTCCCCACTCTATATGTGGTATGTTTTTTTCACTTACTATATCATGGATATCTTTGCATGTCAATAAATACAGATCTGCATCATCACTTTTAATAGTCATATCATGTTCCACCGCTGCAGAAATGGACCATGCGTAATCTATCCCAACCCCTCTAATGCACATTGGTAGCCATGTTATGCTGTTATACCCAATACCATCATGAATTTCTTTACACATATTTTAGTGAATTCACCCTATTATTCCCTAAGATTGAATTTCTGTGTGATAGAGTACAGAGTAAGCATGTTTAGTATTTTCATATATGTTATCCATATGCCCCCAGAGGTTAATACCTATTAAGATTCTCTGCAACAGTACTCCCCTTTATTAGTTAAGTATTGTCAGACTTTAATCTCCACCAGTCTGAGGGTGGTGAAGTCTTATTTTTCTTTGTTTCTTTAAACATAAAGAAATGAAGTATATCAAGATAACTACTTGATAAAAACACCTGAAAATTCTTTTAAACATCTCAGTAATTGACATCTTTTTCTTTTTTGTGCAAATTTTTAAATTACAGTATCATTTGTCCCAAGTTCTTGGTACATGGTACAATAAGGATACCATTTTGAAACCTGAACTAATTAAAGTGATTTTCCCTCTTTGTCAGGTAGGCATTTTTAATACTTTTTACTGTAAGTGTGTGGGTGTGTGTGTGCGTGTGTGTATTATCCCCTGTACTGCATTATAACTGATTTCAGGGGACGCCTGCCTTCAGCCCAGGGCGTGATCCTGGAGTCCTGGGATCAAGTCCTGCATCAGGCTCCCTGCAGGGAGCCTGCTTCTCCTTCTGCCTCTGTCTCTGCCTCTCTCTCTCTCTGTGTCTCTCATGAATAAATAAAATCTTAAAAAAAAAAAAAGAGAGAGAGAGAGAGAACTTATTTCAGAGCTGGATCTATACCTGATTCATCTTTGTATCTCCTATTCCCAGCCATCCATGAAGCAGACAGTGCTTGCTCATCGCTCCTGTGACAGGCACTGGTCACTGGGGAAACAGAAGACTAAGAGGCTGCCTCTGCCAATGAGAGGCTTGCCATGTAATAAGTCAACTACCAGTATAATCCTGTAGCCAACTACTGTGATGAGCAAACACTCTGGGGACATGAGGACTAGGGATGCTTTCACAGAAGAATTGTGCCTGACTTGTGTCGCAGGGAATACATAGGAATACACCAACAGATGGACCTGAAAGAGAGGCATTCTAAAAAGGCAGAGGAATGTGTGGCATTTCAGTGACTCGCTGCTTGTATTTAGTATGGCTAAAGCATAGGGTACATATCTGTCTAGTCTGTCGGGATAGGACTAGAAAGACCGGGACAGGATCAGTGTTGTCTAATGCAGAAGCTCCAGGTGGCTGTTGAGTACTTGAAATGTGGCTAGTGCAACTGCGGAACTGCATTTTTCTTTTTAATTGCTTTAAATAGCCACATATGCAGTGGCTACCCTATTGAACAGCACAAGACTAAAAGACCATGAGAGCCCTCCTTTATTACCCTAAGGAGTTAGGACTTCTTCCTGAGTGGGAGAGAAAAGTTGGGAGGTGGAAAAAAATGGGGTGCTTGGGTGGCTCAGTCTGTTAAGTATCCGACTTGATTTCAGCTCAGGTCATCATCTCAGGGTCATGGGATCAAGCTTCACATCGGGCTCTGTGCTGAAAGTAGAGTCAGATTGTCCCTTTCCCTCTGCTCCTACCCTACCCCTGTTTGAGCTTGAGCTCTCTCTCTCAAATAAAGAAATAAAATCTTAGAAAGAAAGAAAGAAAGAAAGAAAGAAAGAAAGAAAGAAAGAAAGAAAGAAAGAAAAAAGAAAAGAAAGAAAGAAAAGAAAAGAAAAAAGAAAGAAAGAAAAGAAAAGAAAAAAGAAAGAAAGAAGTTGGGAGGTGAGGAGGTGTCAGGATTCCCGGTTGTTTTGGAAAGATCACTCTAGTGTATAAACTCTTAACCTTTTTGGCTCCCAGTTGACTTTTTGCCAGACACTTTCCTAGGGTTTTTTTGGTACTGGGAATGCAGCAGTCAACCAAGCAGACAGAAATCTGGCCCCTTGTGGAGCTTGACGCATGAGCAAGAGAAATGCAAACACACACACACACACATACACAGCATGTTAGAGGACAAGGATAATAGTATGGGTTTTCATGCTAGAATCTCCGCTTTTTTGTATATGATCATTTTTTGTTGGCTGCATGGCCTTAGGCAAGTTACTTAGGCTCTCTGCCTCATCTGTAAAACGCTATACAAATAGTGTCTACCCTGTGGGTCATTAAGAGGAATAAATTAATATTTGTAAGTAACCAGGGCCTGGCACATAATAAGGTCTATATAACTATTTAATAAATAAGTAAAAGCTAAGGGAAAAAAAATAAAGAGATAGGTGGAGGGGACAGCTTGCAATGATAGATTGGGTAGCCAGGGAGGGCCTCCCTAGACAGTGACAGTGAATAAAAACCTGGAGGGGGGTAGTGAGAAAGTGAGTTGCACAGGTGATTTCTAAACAGAGGGAGTAGCTCGTTCAGAGGCCCGGAATCCAGACAGCACCTGGCATGTTTGAAGATAGCCAGGGCGCCAGTATGGCTGGTATGGGGTGAAAAGGGAAAGTGGATGATGAGATCAGAGCAGTGACAGGTGGCGAGGTCCTGTGGGCCACAAGAGTCAGAGTAAAGCCTTTGGCAGTGGAAGCCACTGAAGGATTTCAAGTAGGAGAGTGACAGGATCACAGACCTGAGCAGGGACCTGAGCACACAGACCTGAGCAGGAGTGTCAACTTCAGTTGAAGAATCTGTGCCTGAAGGTATTAGATTAAGAATTGGAGAGCCACTGGGTTGATGCTGCAGGTAGGAGACTAACTTATTAGACTGCTATTCTGATAGGCTAGGCAAGAGTTGAGAAGAGGAAGAGATTTTAGATAAACTGAAGTTAAAAAAAATGGGAGGAGGAGTCTGTAACAAACTGGCTGTGGAAGGTGAAGAAGAACAAGGGATCAGGCCTGGCTCCCTTGCTTCTGGTTTGAGCAGCTTGGTGGAATTGAGACTGAGACTGCAAAGCGAGACAGGATGAGTGAGAAGGGAGCAAAGACTGTGATATAAGCGTGTGGTTTTAGAAATGGTTTTCATGCAGTGCTCAGATGGAGGTATTGGTAGGTGCTTGAAGATCTCTGTATCTGTACCTCAGAAGAGAAGCCTGGGATGGGGAAAGAAGTTTTTCAGTGATCTGTTAATAGAAACCATCAGTGAGGTTGACCAGGAGCAGAGTCAGAGTTGGGAGAGAGCAGAGCCAAGCCAGGAAGAAGCTCAGGGCATGGGGGAGCAGACAGGCCTTTAGGAAGTGGATGTAGGGTGGAGGAAGGGAGTCCTGAGAAGGATCTGTTCAAAGGCTAGGAAGCCAGCAAAGGGAAACAGATGCCTGGAAGAGGTAAAGCAGCAATACCAAGGATGATGTCAGTCTTTGGATCCAGTAGATCAGAAGGCGGCCTGGCTTAAGCCCCAGCTGTCCCTTGTTTGCTTTGTGATTTGAGGCCTCGGGGCTTGGAGGAGTGAGACCCAGTAGCTGTGAGAACACCAGAGCTGACTAGGAACATAGTAACTTGCATGGTACTTTGTGCATAAGAGAGGTCTAACAGACATTTATCAGATGAGTCAGTATTTCAGATTGCTGTTGAGTGAATCATACCTCCTACCCCTGCCTACCTCCTACTTCTACCCCTAGTCTTCCTTAATTCAGTACCTACTTGATGACCTGGTATTTTGGTACTGATGGCTTTTAGGTAGCTACCACTAGCTAGCACCAGACTGTTAGCATCTCTTTTGATTCAGGCCTATATCCCTGACAATGTGAAATTGACTGAGAAGTGTGTTGCTCAAGATAAATCCTTATGACAGCTTCACTGCAAGGATCATGCACCAGAGTTTGTGTGGTTGGATTTAAACACATACTTGGGGGACACCTGGGTGGCTCAGCAGTTGAGCATCTGCCTTCGTTCAGCTCAGCATGATCCTTGGGTCCTGGGATTGAGTCCCACACTGGGCTTCCTGCATAGAACCTGCTTCTCCTAACCCTCTTCCTGTGTCTCTGTCTCTCTCTCTCTCTCTCATGAATAAATAAATAAATAAAATCTTTAAAAACCAACAACAACACATACTTTGTAAAAGAACATAGATATCTTTTTGAATTGTGCCATCTTAGTGACTTTTCTCACTTTTTGGAACAGGAGGTCTGTAACTCCAGGAGGACCCCATTATGTCTGTAATGGTATATGAGGACTGACTCCTAGAACGTTGCCTGGTCTCTGACCCGTCAGCATGGGGAGGTGAGTGATGGTGTCTAATCACTGGCACTTGTAAAACCCAAGATTTTGGTGCCACAGAAGTAGATATTGAAAGGAAAAAAAAAAATCTAGGTTCCAAGTGAAAAGGGTTCAAAGTTATGCTACACTTGTGTTTAATACCTTTGTTCTTCCAGGCCTCATTGGGGTGCCTGTTAAAAGTAGTTGTGCCAGATAGATTCTATGGGGCTTTTAAAGTAGTTTACTGTGAAGGGCACGTGTGTGGGAATCTGTGAGAGGCTGTACTAGCTGCAAGATAACTGTAAGCCTCAGAGGTGTGGGCAGAGGATGGCAGCCTCTGTGGAAGTGGCCCAAGAACCCACATGGAGACTAGAAACTACAAGTGAACGCCATTGAGTTAGCAGGATATCTCCCCTTTCTGTGAGGTATTTTAGTCTAGGAAGCACCCTTTATAGGGAAGAACGTAGAAATTAACCACAAAACTTTAACATCTACTCTAAAAGTAGCAAGTTTTTGTTTTGCTTTGTTTTTTAAGCCCCACAGTAATCCGTTATTCCTGGCATAAACAGAAGAAAAGTGTTTATTTGTTAAAATGTCTCAGGAATAATCCCAAAAACACAGGACATGCAAAACTCACTTTGTGCCTTTATTCTGGGGATGTTATTAAAGATCCTGATTTTCTCCGATTTTCTCACTGAATCATCAGGGAGAAATTTGCCTTGAAATTCAATGTTGAAAAAAGTCTTACTCCTCCTGAGCTGTTTATATGTTTCTAATCTAATGGACAAGGTTTTGGCCACTGGGCAACCTTTACAGGGCCTTTCTTATTACATGTATTTCCTTGTACTGAATTGTTTTTTTGGTTTTATCACCCTGAAACCTGAGTTCATTATAGATTTATAGATTTATTACATTAAATTTACTTGTCTCTCTCTTTTTTTTTAACAAAGCAGGGTACGAATAATAATCTACATACTATTGTCAGGAAAGGTGGAAAAACATAAACATGTCATAACCATCAGGGTGTATTTCTCATTCATGTAGTCTTATACTGAGTAAAATAGCAAAATAGCAATATGGAAGATGCTGGCATACAGATACCTCCCAGCAGGGGAATGAGTGGCCCCAGCCAGATGTCTTACTTTGAGATCAATTTAGGTGAGGAAAGTCTTCTTGGGAGCAGATTGCTTTAAAATCTGTTTTATTGGAATTTTAGGATTGGCATCTCCTGTCTATTTCCTGCTTCCTGGCATTTTAGCATCTCTCCAGTGGGGTGTCCGCGAATTCTGAATACCAATTTACGCCAGATTATTGTTATTAGCATTCTGGCTGCTGCTGTTTCGCTTTTATACTTTTCTGTTGTTATAATCCGAAATAAGTATGGGCGGCTATCCAGAGACAAGAAGTTTCAAAGGTAAGAGAAAAAAATCATTTCTTTTCTAGATGGGGTGCCATACCTTCAATTTTACAGCTTCAAGACTTTGGGGATTAGGTTGGAATTTGAGGAGCATGTGGCTGTAGGAATCTGTACTGACTACAGCGTGGCATGCAAAATTAAACTGTTTGAAACTGTTTAATCATTAGCCACCAAATCCACATTGTAAGAGGATTTAAACATAAGCTTCTCCTGTGATATCTGTTAAGCTGATTTTTCAGTGAATGTCAGTTGTTTGGGAATAGTTTTGCTTCTCAGAACTTCTTTGAACTTCTTAAAAGGAATGATTATGTATCTGATTTAGATTATCTTTATCACTATCAATTGTTTTGTTTTCTTTTGACTCTTTAATCATTTGGCAGTTGTAAAAATGTGATAGTGGATCAGCTTAGAATTCACTGACTTGGTAGTTATTTATTGCTTTTGCTCTGTTAAGGTTTGGGCAATATTCTCTGTCTCAGATAAAGCATGTGTTCATTTTTCTAAACAAGGTACTTGGCACGAGTTACTGACATTGAAGCGACAGACACCAATAACCCCAATGTGAACTACGGTATTGTGGTGGACTGTGGTAGCAGTGGGTCTCGAATATTCGTCTATTGCTGGCCAAGGCACAACGGCAATCCTCATGATCTGTTGGATATCAGACAAATGAGGGATAAAAACCGAAAACCAGTGGTTATGAAAATAAAACCCGGTATGTAAAGGATAAATATCGATTGGTAACCAGGTTCTGTCCTTTATTCTCTGTCAGGTTTTCATGTCCTTCCCCCCGCTTTGCCCACAGCCATTGCCCTTGTCCAGAGCTCACGCCAGGACCTGATAATCGTTTCACTTTCTTCCCCCTCCTTTCCCCACCCCACATGAGGCGACTAACTCCTTGTAAAATAGCCAAAACCATGTCTGTCTTGTGTGTCCTGCAGCATTTATCACAGTGCCTTACTCATGTGTCTACTCAGGTGTTTGCTAGTTGACATTCATTATGGAGAGATTTTTTTTCCTCCTATTTGGTAGTCGTTGATCTCTATCCCTAACAACAGGGTAATTCAGATAATTCTTGGATCTGTACTCTAAAACATTGTTATTAAAAAATAATAAATAAATAAATAAATAAATAAATAAATAAATAAATAAATAAATAAATAAAACATTGTTATTATCTTTTTCGCCGCATTTTTAAAAAGTGCTCCAATATGGGCAGCCCAGGTGGCTCAGTGGTTTAGCGCTACCTTCGGCCCAGGTTGTGATCCTGGAGACCTGGGATCAAGTTCCACGTCGGGCTCCCTGCACGGACCCTGCTTCTCCCTCTCTCTCTCTCTCTCTCTCTCTCTCTCTCTCTCTGTCTCTATCTCTCATGAATAAATAAAATCTTAAAAAAATTTTTTTTTTAAATTGTCTCTGTGTGTCTCTCTCTCTCTCTCTCTCTGTCTCTGTCTCTATCTCTCATGAATAAATAAAATCTTAAAAAAAATTTTTTTAAAGTGCTCCAATATATTTCCTTTTTTTAAAAAAATTTTATTTATTTACTTGAGAGGGAGCATGTGTGTGAGTAGGGGGAGGGGCAGAGGGAGAGAGAATCTCGAGCAGACTCCATGCTGAGCACAGAGCCCAATGCAGGGCTCAATCTTATGACCTGAGCCCAAATCAAGAGTCATACACTTAACTGACTAATCTACCCAGGCATCTCCTCCCAATATATTTCTAATCATCTAGATTATTATTAAATAAGAATGACTGCAGAACTTGAGCTGATGTTATTATGTCAAGTTTTTAAAGATGTCACAGTTTCTAAAATAGTGTGTTGTGTAAAATTGGGATTTGCTTTCTCCATTAAACAATTTAAGTCAGTGGTTCTCAACCTTTTTCTGTACATACATTATTTCCATGGGCATTGCCTTTCTGTAAGAAGTTTTAGAATCAGAAGGTGTCCAGGAGTACCTTGAATAGATATTTTATGTCTTGATAGTTAATAATCACTGATTTAAACAGTGGACCACATGGGTGTCTGGCTGGCTCAGTTGGAAGAGCTTGTGACTCTTGATCTCAGGGTCATGAGTTCAAGCCCCATGTTGGGTGCAGAGATTACTAGAATAATAAACTTAAAAAAAATAAATAAAACAGTGGACCACAGATCCTCATAGAGATTAAGCACTTTTATTTCATCTTGCTAGGGTGTTAAATGGTAAAATATTAAACCCAAACAACTCAAGGAATTTGTCTTGTAAAATATTAGAGAATGTTTATAAAAAATCACTTATTATCTATTTCAAATATGTAAATGAAAAGGTGGTTCAGTTTTAATATGATAAAATACCTGTCCTCATAAAATTGTTCCTAATGACATATACTACGGGCTCTTTGAGTCCTCCCCATTCTTCATTGAATAATTTAGGCCCCACTTCCTTCTTCAGAAAACCCTTGGCAAGTTGATTGTTCTTTGATGCTTGGGCAGCTGGGCACTAGCATATTGCTCAGAAAATCCAGAACCTCTACCTCATTTCTCAGGTTAAAGAGAGGGAACTTAATCTGAATCTCTCATGTAAGCATTATTTTGATATTAGAGTACATTTCCATGAACAAAAATTATTTTTTTCTAGAAGTCTTAGTGAATGACTTTGAATTTTTAGTTTTCCATTCCATTCCTTAAAAATTTTTTTAAAGATTTTATTTGTTCATGAGAGACAGAGGCAGAGACAGAAACAGGCTCCCTCTGGGGAGCCTCATGTGGGACTTGATCCCAGGATGGACCCCAGGATCACAACCTGAGCTGAAGGCAGACGCTCAACCACTGAGCCATGCAGGTGCCCCCTCATTCCTTCAATTTTGATGTATTCAAAATGTAGAAACATTTTCAGGATTAAAGTCATGTTGATTAAATTAAAAATTCACCAGAAGATTGAAAAATAAAGTTCTATAAAGCACATTGCTTTTCATCTAGCTTCACATACCAGCTTCCATTAGTTATTAAATAAGATAAAATCTTTCATGCCTTGGAGTTGTCTTTTGGGACATCATCCCAAGGTATACACCAGAAACTCATTAAAATCAGGTTTAACGTGGTTCTTTCTTATGCTACAGAAAGTATTTGAAATAGAAATTCAAGTACCTTTTTATAGCACTCCTCAGTCATGAAGCCGGGACTCTCATGTGTAGCATTTCAGCAAAGCTCTAGAATAATTTCCTTACTTAATAGATTCTGGGTAGGTTGGGATTTGGTGTCTATCGAAACAGTATTTGTGGAGTAAAAAAAAAAAAAAAATCTGGCTTTTGGTCCATTTTCTGCTGATTGCTCTGACAAATCACTTAACTTTCTGGATCCACAGTTTCCTAATCTGTGAAATGAGAAATGTTTGGACATCTAAAATGTGAAGTCCGGAGGACACCATTTGTGTGGGAATGGTCGAGGGATCACCAAGACTGGAGGGTAGGATATGTTGCATCAGACTGCCAGAAAGGAGGAAGAAAAATGAAATGTGAGAGGAACCAGGGAGAGCCGATTAATGACACTCAGAACACATATTGGAGAGGGGATTTTATCCAGAATCCTAGCTTGGGCTGCTGGTTGGCTAGTGACGGTGGTCACTGATTGGCTAGTGATGGTGGTAAAAGCAGTAAGAACAGATTTGCTGTGGAAGTTGAGCTCAGATTTGTATGTGTATATGTTGAGTTTGAGGGTTGGTGAGGACAAGTACATTGTCATGTCTAGTGGACAGTTACCACATACTGATCTGGAGTCTGGGAACAAGACCTGGTAGCTGCTGATGAGATTTGGAGATCTGAGACACAAAGGTGATGGCGGCAGCCGTAGGAATGAGTGAGCTTGCCTGAGCAAAGTGGGAACATGTTCTTGAAGGCAGGTGCATGTGCTCATGTGCAATTGATCCCAATGTCTGACACGTAGTTGCTCAAATGGTTCTCATTTCTTTGGAGACTGAGAGCATAAGCCTGAACATTTAATACCACTACTGTTCAAAAAGACTGTGGAAGTTCTTGCTAAGAGGGATACAGGAAAAACTAGGAAAGTGTGGTTTGTAACTTGAATTTCTCTCAATTTAGCCACGTTGAAGAAACATAACTTATTAACTACTTGTTAATGGAAGTGTCCTTTTTCGATAGGCATTTCAGAATTTGCTACCTCTCCGGAGAAAGTCAGTGATTATATTTCTCCACTTTTGAGCTTTGCTGCAGAGCACATACCACGGGCAAAGCACAAAGAAACGCCTCTCTACATTCTCTGCACAGCTGGAATGAGAATCCTTCCTGAAAGGTGATCCTCCAGAGGGCAGGCCAGGCCTGGATGGCCGTGGTGGTGGTGGTGGTGGTGGTGGTGGTGGTGGTGGTGGTGGTGGTTTATTTCCCCCCTTCCTCTTCCTGTCCCTTTTCCTTCTCTTCCTCCTCTTCTATTATTATCACCAAAAGGAAGACATTAAAAATTCTTTCTTCAAATTCAAGATAGTACCAAAACTATTCTCTTAGCCAAAACTCACCAAAATCTCTTAATGTATTTGTTTATTACTATAAATAATAAACTACAAAGTAAACAGTAAAGTAGAAACTATAAAGTCATAAAAAAACTCATTTTCTATGTCATTAATTTAAGGATTGCAGTTGTAGTTGTACATCTAGGAATCACAAAATTCACACAACTCATGAAATTCGTAAAATAAAGTTTTATTCAGTGAATTCCTTTGGTTTTGAAATTTACTGTTTTCATATAGGATATACTGGAGCCATAGTTTTTGTTTTGTTTTATTTTGTATTTTCTTTTTTTAAAACAGAAAAATTTAGCGCATATTTTGATATGCAAATTTTGGGGTTGTCTTACAGCCAGCAGAAAGCCATCCTGGAAGACCTTCTGACTGACATCCCCGTGCACTTTGACTTTCTATTTTCTGACTCTCATGCAGAAGTAATTTCAGGGAAACAAGAAGGTTGGTATATTGGTCTTCAACTTGAAATTTGGGAAGTTATTCCTTTAAAGCCCCCCCCCCCCATTTTTCCCAGTGTATGCTTCACTAAATTACTTTTTTGTATCTTAAAAATTAGGAAATCATAGCCTTGAAATATTATTTTTAAATAGCAAAATTAGTTTCTTATATGACTGGTCTTTATTATCCAAACATTAAGCCATTAAAAAAAATAGCTCAGTTTGTGTTTACTGTATTTAGGAAATATACATTGGATTAATTTTGACACAAAAGGTTTGTGTTCCTTGCCTAAGTTATATAGCTTCCTGGAATTATGATTACTGCATTATTGGAGTCTTCTGTTGATTTACTTACTATTCTTGACTTTGATACACTGAGAAAATATTATTTCTGTTTTCAAATAACTGATTCTACTTGAGAATGAAATGACAAGTCAGTGAGATATTATTTGGGGAATAGCTTGCTAGAAATGGTGACCAAAAGCATTTATTTCAAAGTCACCTATCATTTCAGCAGATTCCCTCTCTGTGAAAATAAAAACTGGGTGAACTTTAGATACTGCCATTGAGTTATTTACAGACAAGGGAGGAACACAGCTGCCATATGAGGTAGAGTCTTTGGTGCCATAAGGAAGGAAAGGAAAAAGGATCATGGGAGTTTGAGCTTTTTTTTCTTGCTAGGGATGTCATGAAACAAGTGACATTTGAACTATGCCCCTAGGGATAGTTATAAGCATGCTGGAGCATGGCCAGGGTGGGGCTTTAAGAGAGCAGTAGGAAGTACCTTCTAAACAGGAAATGATCCAAGTCAGCATCAGTTAGAAAAGCTGTTCTATGGACAGAGGAACAAAAATATGTTAGTTTGAGCAAATTATAGCCCTTTTGAAAGGTGGTAGTAATGTGAAAAGTTGAACAGTCCTCGTGACGTTGGTGTCATGGCAGCGTGAGTTCCTTATTTGTCTCGCATTTGATTTAAACTAATAAAACACCCGTGACCCAGAAAAAAACCACTCTAGATAGGATACCCAACAGATCCATCCTCTCACAATGGGTGGCTTGACCCTCAGAGGAAGCTATGGAACCAGGCAGGTGATAGCCGGGGCAGCAGTAGTCCAACACAATTTTTCTAATGGAGGACTATTCTAATCTCTGGAAGGGTGAAAGTTGTGAGTTAGGGATTTACCCAACAGCACATGCCAGGGCCTGTTGTTCTCTCTGAGCAGAGATCACAGTGACTGAGAGGAGGGAAGGAAGAGGAGGACAGCACAGAGAACTGAAGGAATGTGTTTCCTTCTGTCTGCCCCAGGATTTTGGCAAGAGGATCATCCATGGACCTCTGGGACCACCCCCATCTTAAAGATCCCCTACTAGGCTATGAGCACATTCAAAGCCCCAAGTACTAAGCACACACCTCCACCAACACTGCAGTCAGCCTTTTTTAAAATTAGTAACCTGTTGAACTATTAGAATCAAAGTAAAAAAAGACTTACCTAAATAAGAAGGGTGTTCACTACTTGAAATGCAATAGAACACTTTTTATCAAACACTGAAAAATCAGGTTAATATGGCAATTTTCCAATAATAGAGCCCAAAAACATGGAATATTTAAATCTAACTGGTGAAGAATTCAAAATAGCTATTATGAAGAAATTCAGTGAGCTATAAGAAAACTCAAGCAAATACAGTGATCTCAGCAATAAAATTAATGAACAGAAGGAGTACTTTACCAAAGAGATTAAAATTCTAGAAAATCAAACATTTTGGAGCTGAAAAATTCAAGACATGAGATGAAGAATGCACTAGGAAGCATTGGAAATAAAGCAGATGGAGAGAATAAGCAAGTTTGAGGATAGAAATATAGAAATATTTCCCATAGAAGAGGAGTGAGAACTAAGATTTTTAGAAAGTGAAGAAGCAAAAAAAAAAAAAAAAAGTGAAGAAGCCCTCTGAGAACTATCAGAATCCATTAGAAGAACCAACATAAGATTAGAGGGTATCCCAGAAGGAGAAGAGAGGAAGGAGCAGAGTATTTAAAGAGCTCATAGAAAACTTCCAAATGCAGGGAAGGAATTGGATACATAAGTCTATAAAGCTGATGGACCACCTTTATCTCAGTGCAAAAAGACCATCTCTGAGACACATTACATTAAAATTGTCAAAAGTCAGTGATAAATTATTTTGAAGGAAGCAGGGGTTGAGGGAAAGATATTACCCTACAAAAGCAAGTCTCATCAGGCAATCAGCAGATTTCTCAGCAGAAACTCTATAGGCGGGCAGCCCCGGTGGCTTAGCGTTTTAGTGCCGCCTTCTGCCCAGGGCCTGATCCTGGAGACCTGGGATCGAGTCCCACGTCAGGCTCCCTGCGTGGAGCATGCTTCTCCCTCTGCCTGTTTCTCTCTCTCCCTCCCTCCCTCCCTCTCTGTGTGTCTCTAAAAAATAAAAAATCTTAAAAAGAAAAGAAAAGATACTTCTTCATTAAAAAAAAAAAATAGAAACTCTATAGGCCAGGAGAGAGTGGAATGACATTTTAAAATATTGAAAAATACAAATTGCAAGTCGAGAATACTCTCTGGCAAAGATTTCCTTTGGATATAAAGGCAAAATAAAGGCTTTCCCAGACAAACAGAATGCAAGGGAGTTCACCACCTCCAGACAGCTTACAAGGAATGTTGTAAGGAGCTTTCAAGCTGAAATGAAAAGATGTAGGTGCACAGAAGTCTGATTAAGGTGATAATAGAGTCAGAAAAACCAGTTTTTTTAGAATAATATATTGAAGTATAAGGTTAAAGGAGAAAGAGCATTAAAAATACCTCTAGCTACTGCGACTGTCACAGCATCACAGCATACAAAGATAATATGTGACATCAAAAATATAAAAGGATAGAAACTTTATAGGTGAACAAAGATAAATTGCTATCAGTAGAAAAAAGACTTTTATCTATGAGCTGTTTTATGCAAACCTCATGGTAACCACAAAGCAAACATCAGAGTAGAGAGACACAAAACAAAGGGGAGACTAAGGAAATTGTGGAAACCATGGAAAACCACAAACTTTAAAGATAGACATAAAGAGAAGGAAGAAAACAAGGGAGAGAACAACCTGACCAGAAGGCAAAACACAAAATGGCAGTGGTATATCCCTACATATCAGTAATCATCCTAATGTAAAGAGATTGAATTTACCAAGAATGGGAGAGAATTTTTGTAAGCTGTATATTGGATAGGTGTTAATATCCAAAATATGTGAAGATCTCCTACAACTTAATAACAAAAAATTAACAATTTGATTAAAAACTAATGTGCCTGGGTAGCTTAGTTGGTTGAGTATCAGACTCTTGGTTTCAGCTCATCATGATCTCAGGGTCGTGAGAGCCCCACGTCAAGGTCCGTGCTCAGCAGGAAATCTGCTTGAGATTCTCTTTCTCTTCCCTTTGCCCTCCCCCCCATTCCCACTGGCTCTCTCAAATAAATCTTTAAAAAGAAAACTAAACTAAATAGACCTTTTCCAGATAGGATATCAAAAAAGCCAATAGTACATGAAAAGATGCTCAGCATCACTAATCATTAACGAAATGCAAGTCAAAACCACAGTGAGATTTCATCTCATACCTGTTAGAATGGCTGTCATCAAGAAGACAAGATAGAAAAAAAAAAAAAAGAAGACAAGATAGCAGGTGCTGGCAAAAATGTGGTGAAAGGGTAACTCTTAACGTGTTGTAGGTGGGAGTGTAAATTGTACAGGCACTATGGTAAACAATGTGGAAGTTCCTCAAAAATTCGGAACTAGGTGTACCATATAGTCCAGTCGTTCCACTTCTGGGTATGTACCCAAATAAAACAAAAACAGGATTTCGTCACAATGTCTGCGCTCCCATGTTTACCATAGCTTTAGTTACAAGAGCTGAGACATAGAAACAACCCAAATGCCTATTAGTGGATTAATGGTTAAAAAAAGATCTGATTATTAATATTATTCAGCCATGAGAAAGGAGGATATCCTGCTATTTGTGACAAAATGGGTGAACCTTGAGCACATAAGTGAGATAAGTCAGAAAGAGAAAGATAGTACCATTTGATATCACTTATTTGTGGAATCTGAAAAAGTCAAACCTATAAAAAAAATAGTAAAATGGTGGCTACTAGGGAATTGGGGTGTGTGTGATAAGATTGATGGTGTTTAAGGGTGCAAACTTATAACAAGTAATAAATAAGCCATAGAATTCTACTGGGCAGTGTTAATTCGTATAGATAGTAATATTGTACTGTAACTGTGATGTGACAAGTATCAGTATAAGGGCACCTTAAATCACAGGTGTAACACACTATACACCTTAAATATGCACAATGTTACATGTCCGATTTATTCAATAAAAACAAAAATTTGGAGAGGTCTTGAATTGTCAGGCAGTGGAGTTTGGCCTTGTTCTACAGGTCAGTCCAGTCGCAGAGAATAGCGTGCGTTGGAGTGGAGGAAGTGGGCAAGATCAACTAGGTCTCTGTGACAGCTTAAATCAAGGTGTAAGACGTGAAGTGGGTAGAGACTGGATAGAGCAAGTGTAAAAGGGGAATGAGGCTTGGCTACTGAGTGAAAAATGAGAGACGAAGGAACTGGAAGAGTTGGAGTTTTGTTTTTTCAACCTTGCAGTTGGTAGGTTTAACTTCATAAAGCAAAATTACTCCATTATTTCAGAACTGTTTGAAACAAAAACTAGCATCAGGGGAATCCTGTTTTTAGCTATGTAAGTGATAGGAAACTGAATTTTAAGGAGTTCTAGGAAAGCCACTAGAAAAACAAAATATATCGGAGGGATTTGTTATTTCCGATAATGTTTTTGCACATTGTCAGGGAGTAAAGTAAATGAGTTGTTTGCGTGGACTGCATCAATAAGAGTTGTACAGAGTATCTTAAAACTTTATTCTTCTCCCCCCTATGAAATGTCTATAGGTGTGTATGCTTGGATTGGCATTAATTTTGTCCTTGGACGATTCGAGCATATTGAAGATGGTAAGTATCATGTTTCCAACCGATATTTTTGACTGGAAATAATAACTGTTCTGTCTAATCCCAAAGGACAAAAAAGGAGCTAAGTTTTGGGTTTGTTTTTTAAGATTTTATTTATTTGAGATAGAGAGTGAGAGAGAGCATGACTGGGGGGCAGGGGCAGAGGGAGAAGCAGGCTCCCTACTGAGCAGGGAGCCCAATGTGGGGCACCATCCCAGGGCCCTGAGATCATGACCTGCGCTGAAGGCAGATGCTTAACTGACTGAGCCAGCCAGGGACCCCAGGAGCTACGTTTTGTGACATAGCTAAGTGTGTAGCGTAGAGAAAGGAGCTGCTCTTTCCCACCATGAACTTGACTTTAGGCAGGAGGACTAGGCTGAGTTGGGCCTAGGTGGGCTTGAAAGTACCATGAAAACAAGACTCTTCAGAAGATCCCCATTTTCTGGATTCGTTCTGTTCCAATGGATGTTTCTTGTTCTTCCTAGATGAGGAGGCAGTTGTGGAGGTTAACATTCCTGGTAGCGAAAGCAGGGAAGCTATCCTCCGTAAAAGGACAGCCGGTATTCTGGACATGGGAGGCGTGTCAACTCAGATAGCGTACGAAGTTCCCAAAACTGTAAGCTTTGCCTCCTCACAGCAGGTTACTATCCGTGCAAATTTTCTTCCATTTGGTTTGGTTTTCCTTTAACATGTCTCCATCCATTTTTGTTTTGTTTTCTGAGTCTGAACACATCTTTACTGTGCTTGCTGAGGCCCCACCTTCCCAACCCAGGAGAACGGAGTCAGGAGGAAGCCACGTAAACCTCCGCTAAGCCGTTTGTGTTTGTTCATTGAAGTCAGCTGGTTTGTTTTTTGAACTGAGAGTTTCTGTGTGGTATAAATGTCAGTCACATGCTCGAATTTTTGTTTGTATTTTCTCTTCAGTCACTTCTCACCAGATATTGTAATACTTAATGTAATGGCATCGTATTTCTTAAGTTATAGTTAGGGAAGGTACTGGGTTTTTTTTAAGGCTCAGACAGCTTTTGACTTTTCTGGAAAGGACTGAGGTTTGTATGCACTGCTTGCATATTTCTGAACTTGACTTTTCTCTGTTTTCTCCATGCCCTTCAGGGCTCCCTGTCATTGCCTGTAGTTTCCCAGTAGGCCGGGCAGCCTTGTAAAGAGAGCACCAGAAAGGTTTCCAGATGCATTCCTGAATTGCTGCAAGTCTTTATGACTCTTTTTCCCATCTAGCTGTAAATTACTATCAAAGCCTGATTTCCTACACTTTTCCCTAGCATGGTATAGTGGTTAAAAAAGTCTGGGCTCCATCATCACGCTGGCCCCACTAGCTATGTGACCTTACACACATCACTTCTTTGAGCTAGGTTCTTCATCTATAAATGTGAATGCAAATACCTTTCACACAGAGTTTTTAAAAGGCTGAAATGAAATAGTGCATATAATGTATCTGATGTACTGCCAGCCACCTAGTGTTCACTCACTAAATGTTATTGGCATATTTATTAAGTGCTTTACAAAAATGCTTGTAAGTTAAACGCTTTATGTGTCCTGCATCTCATCCAGACGTGGTTCCAGAAACTATTATACTCTTTGTTAAAAATCATGTTTTCGCCCTCAAGACAAAGTAAAAAATACATAGAACATGAGTTTAGAAAAGAATACTGAAAAATGAGAGTTAAAAATTTTCCATGGTGCATCATCCAAAAAAGAAAAAAGTCATTCTTAGCATTTTGGTATATTTCTTTTCATTCATTTTTTTCCCTACTTACAGTTTTTTTTAATATGTTTGTTATAATCTTACTGTTTATACAATTTTGTGTCCCTTGTCTAGCAATGCATAAGCATGTTCCTCCATAAACTAATGATTACCATAATTAACTAAAAACTCCTTGGAGTTGTAAATTTTTTTTTATCTTTTTAAAACATTTTTTTAAGATTTTATTTATTTGAGAGAGTGTGTGAGCAAGGGGGAGGGGCAGAGGGAGAAGCAGACTCCCCACTGAGCAGGGAGCCTGAAGTGGGGCTTGATCCCAGGACCCTGATATCATGACCTGACCTGAATGCAGCCACTCAGGCATCCTGGAGTTACAGATTTAGATGACACCCAGTTTCTTCTCTCATAGAACACAGAAGTCATCTTTGTGTATAGAGACTTTTTGATGTTTAGAATTATTTCTAAAGCATAGGCTTCTTCCACCAGTAGGTTTACTAGACTGGAGGATGTGAACTATTTTGCTGACTTCCCTTTACAAAAAGTAGTAGTATCACAGATGTGCAGCCCATCTGGAATTTTTTAAGTCCGAACTGTGCTGTTGAATTCAGAGGGATGTTTTGAAGGGTCCTTGGGAAATGCGGAAGCAGAAATTTTTGCTGCTTTTGGATGAGAATCATTTTAGATCATTCTTTTTCACAGGAGGTAATTGTTTTTGTATTGCTTAAAATACTAAAGTTTTTTTATCCTTGCATATGCAGGAAGAAGTAGCTAAGAACTTGTTAGCTGAATTTAACTTGGGATGTGATGTTCACCAAACTGAGCATGTATACCGAGTCTATGTGGCCACATTTCTTGGGTTTGGTGGCAATGCTGCTCGACAGAGATATGAAGACCGAATATTTGCCAGCACAGTTCAAAAGAACAGGTAAAGCACCTTCCACTTCTCAGCATTTGCTTTCAGACCTAGGTCTTTCCTCATAGAAAACCTCTCAGGGCAAAGCAGGGAAACCTCAAGCAGCAGAAATACATCAGCACTGTCAGCTTTGACTCCCTTGCCAGTTGAGAAATGAAAGGACACCACGATTCTACCTTTGGCCCTCAATTCTTTTCAGGTTCTGGAGGCAGATCTCTGTCTCTCTCTCTCTCTCAGACCCACACCTCCCTGGATTAGAAATTTCACTGTTAACATATTGAAATAGTTTTGAGCCCTGGGTGGTGTATTTCACATTGCAGAGTCCTGGGGAAAATCAGCACGCAGGCTACTGCACATGTCCTGGAGGCCTGCGGTAAGTGATGATCGAATTGTTGATGATTGAAGTGAATTATGTGATATTCTGGTGGTGTTCTGGAAAACCAGCCTGTACAGTTATTTATTGGATAAGACCATAGAGAAAAAAGTTATTCAAATTTTTTTTTTTTTTTAATTTATGATAGGCACACAGTGAGAGAGAGAGAGAGAGGCAGAGACACAGGCAGAGGGAGAAGCAGGCTCCATACACCGGGAGCCTGACGTGGGATTCGATCCCAGGTCTCCAGGATCACGCCCTGGGCCAAAGGCAGGCGCCAAACCGCTGCGCCACCCAGGGATCCCAAGAAAAAAGTTATTCAAGAGAAAGAGGTGATCTAGAAGTCTAAGTTAGTGATTTCAAACATTTTTAGCAGTGAAACTTTATAAATGAGTCTCTGGGGAGCCCAAAATGGCAACCAACTGCTGCCAGCATTTCCTTGAGCTTTGTGAGGACTTGCCGGTGGACGAGAACAGGGCCGAGACTTTTGTGCTTACCTGCAGCACCAGGTAGCACAGGCCTTTCAGGAGGGAGAGAACACCCAGATTGCAGAGCATGAGGCCTGTGGTCAGATGTATGAGAGCTTAGCCATGACTCCATTCAGACTATTACAAACACCAATATTCTCGCCCCAGAGACTTGAGCTTCAGCAGCCTGTCCATGGAAGAGTATAAGCTGATCCTGTGCACAGGCACCCTGGAAGAGTTTAAGGAAACAAATAAAGATATGTGGAAGACAGTGCAGGAGAAGTTTGCCCCCAGGAATCCCAAGGAGAAGCAGAGGACCTGGGCTCGGTCTTTATCTCACCCATGCACCAAGTCATGGAGTTTTGTACCTTGCTATCATAAATAAAACTGCCCTGATTTACCTGCCTAAAAAATAAAAATGAGTTTATAAAAGAATTCTGGTATAGAAAGCATATAGAACAAATAAAAGCAATACTTTAATCAATTTAAATTTGTAAGTTTAAGTATATAGGAATTATTTATTTAAAATTGGTCCATAAGTAAAGCAGAGCTGTTGGATGAATAAAAATATCTGAAATCTAGGATTATATAAAAAATGCCAATTAATAGAGATAAATGGTAGTATGTGGTTTCTAGATCAATTTAATCTTAAACCTTTGGAGGCCTGAACTTTAAGAAAGACCAGGTCAGAGCCATTTTGTACCACATTTCCCAGAAATTCACATATGTGAATAGGAAAAGCAATAAAAACTTACTCTTTTTCTGCTCCAGACATTAATTGAACGGTGTTAAGAGATTGGTAGTCCCAAAGTTTCTTTTAAACGTGGTATATTATATAGGAAATTCTGGTATAATTATTTTTTATAATAGTCTTATTAAATAGAAATATTTTGTAAGTGATGTTTGAATTAGAACTTTGGAGAAAACCAACAATGCTAATTTTTAATAATAGGTTTTAACGTCAAGAAGCTTGTATAATGGACAGTTGTGTGGTCCTTCTTAAGATGTGGGACAACTAAAAACAGTGTTGAAGTACATTTGACAAGTCTTGGACTTTTTTTTTTTTTTTTTTTTTTTTAAGATTTTATTTACAGGGCATCCCGGGTGGCTTAGCGGTTTAGCACCGCCTTCAGCCCAGGGCCTGCCTGATCCTGGAGACCTGGGATCGAGTCCCACGTCAGGCTCCCTGCATGGAGCCTGCTTCTCCCTCTGCCTGTGTCTCCGCCTCTCTCTCTGTCTCTCTGTGTGTCTCTCATGAATAAATAAATAAAATCTTAAAAAAAAAAAAGATTTTATTTACATATTTATTTGAGAGAGCACACGTGAGCAGGGAAAGGAGCAAAAGGAACGGGAAAGAGAATCTCAAGGTGACTCTGCAGTGAGTGCCGAGCCAGAAGCAGGGCTCAATCTCACGACCCTGAGATCATCACCTGAGCAGAAATTAAGGGTCAGACACTGGGGCACCTGGGTGGCTCAGTCTGTTAAGTGTCTGCCTTCAGCTCTGGTCATGGTCCCGGGGTCCTGGGATCCAGCCCCGCATTGCGCTCCCTGCTTCTCCCTCTCCTCCCTGCTCATTCTCTCTCTCACTATGTCTGTCTCTCTCTCAAATAAATAAAATCTTAAAAAAAAAAAAAAAGTCACTTAACTGAGTCACCCAGACATCTTATCTTGGACTTTCATAATAATTATACACATTATGGGGATCCCTGGGTGGCTCAGCGGTTTGGCGCCTGCCTTTGGCCCAGGGCGCGATCCTGGAGTCCCGGGATCGAGTCCTGTGTCGGGCTCTCAGCATGGAGCCTGCTTCTCCCTCCTCCTGTGTCTCTGCCTCCCTCCTCCCCCCCCCCTCTCTCTCTCTCTCTCTCTCTCATAAATAAATAAATAAATCTTTAAAAATAATAATAATAATTATACACATTAGTCATCACTTTTTATATATGTCATAAATTGAGCTTTGAAATGCATAGTTATCTCTTTGCTATCAGTAGCAATTGAGTTTTGAAAATAATTTTTTTAAAGATTTTATTTATTTGATGGCACAAGCAGGGGGAGCCAGAGAGGGAGAAGCAGGGAGCCCAATGTGGGGCTCAATTCCCGGGACCCTGGGATCATGATCTGAGCCAAGGCAGACACTTAACTGACTGAGCCACCGAGGCACCCCAAAAATTGTTTTTAATTAATGGCAAAGACCTTAGTTTATTACATTCAAGTGCATGTTTAGTTACCATGATCTTAGGAATAAACAACTTGGGATCCCTGGGTGGCGCAGCGGTTTGGCGCCTGCCTTTGGCCCAGGGCGTGATCCTGGAGACCCGGGATCGAATCCCACGTCGGGCTCCCGGTGCATGGAGCCTGCTTCTCCCTCTGCCTGTGTCTCTGCCTCTCTCTCTCTGTGTGTGACTATCATAAAATAAAATAAAAAAATTTAAAAAAAAATCTAACAAAAAGGAATAAACAACTTGTCAATTGAGTGACTGATACTAATACTTAAACACTTTTTAGACCAGGGATCAATAGTGGGTTAATTTTTAAAAATTAGTTGAAACAGAGATTCAAAAATCAAATGAAATCAAATGGCAGGCATTTTGTTTTATGTTTTCATTTGCCAGTCTTTTGCTCTGGACTCTGATGTCTTTTCTTAGACTACACTTGTCATATCTCTGGCATGCACTGCACCTGCTCATCTCAGTGTCATTTTGGCTCTTTAATGACTACAAAGGGCTTAACAAACATTTGTAAAGCAGTTTGATACCAGTTCTAGGTTTTCCCAATTTTTTTAAACCTACTGAATTTGACAGTAGTTTTCAGGCAACTTGCCTCTATCTAAAGCATCTAGCCTGGCTTGGGCAGGGCCAGTTACTTCTTTCCACAGTCACATTTCATCTCTATAATGAAACCTACAAGCTCTAGTGGCAGAACAGGATTGGAAAGGACAGTTGGTGGGCATTCAGTTGCGGTGAACTTGAAACCAAGAGGAACTTAGGAACCATAAACTCAGGCTGAGCGCACCAGGCCACATGGCAGGGTACAGAAAGCACTGGTAGTCTGCCCAGGTAGCTGTCTCACTGGACCCCATTACAGTGTCTGCTGTACACACATGTGGATGGATGGAAATCTTCAAGAGGGGCTCAAGAACCTGTTTCCCTAACCTCATCATCCCACAACCCTTTTGTTTTCCCACAGAATACCTTGCAGGGCTCATGGTTCACAGAATGTCTTGAGAAACACTGACTTGCAGCTACTTTTTCAGAACAATTTTCTGTCAGCCTCAAATCAAGTTTCTCTTTGTTTTGTAGGCTCCTGGGGAAACAGACTGGTCTGGCTCCTGATACTCCATTCTTGGACCCCTGCCTACCCCTAGACATCAAAGATGAAATCCAACAAAACGGACAGACCATGTACCTCCGGGGAACAGGAGATTTTGACCTGTGTCGAGAGACCATCCAGCCTTTCATGAATAAAACGAATGAGACACAGACCTCTCTCAATGGGGTCTATCAGCCCCCGATTCACTTCCAGAACAGTGAATTCTATGGCTTTTCGGAGTTCTACTATTGCACTGAGGATGTGTTACGAATGGGTGGGGACTACAATGCTGCTACTTTTACTAAAGCTGCAAAGGTAACCTTCAAACAAACCCTCTTCTCTCCTGCATGCTTTTGAGAGACTGGTGTAGACAGTGGCACCTTATGTCCCTCCTGCATATATAGAAGCCCAGCTCAAGAGAAGGGGGAGGTGGAGGGGTGTAGTATAGCCTGTTGGGGATCCTGTTCCCTTGGTGAGCAGGAGACATAGTCCCAGCAGGAGTCAGAAGTCCACGGTGAGCTGACTTTTGCCACCACTGCATGAGCCACTCTGATCATCAGTGGCTTCTAGATGACAGACTTGAATATTTCTGGGTAATAACATAGCCAGTATCTGGCCACACTCCTGGCAGCCTTCCTGTCCCTCAGTTCTCTTGTTGGCCACTGCCTTTCTGATAGTTTCTTAGGCTCTTTCAGCGGTTCTCCTCCTTTACACCCCTTAAACCTTGGTGATCCTAGACTTCCACCCTTGGCCCTTGTACCTTCAGGCTTTTGGATGGTCTCATCCATGCTCATGGTTCACTGGTACTGCCTGTCAAAAGAGGCTCCAGTCCTGACCCTGCCTACTAGATATCATGACCCAAAACAAACGCACCATTTTCTCTCCATTCCCCTCATTCTGTGATATTGTCTGGGTTAATGGCATCCCTTGACCATCCAGTCCACCTCCCAAAACTCAGAAGTTCTAGACTTCCTCCTGCCATTCATTCCCTCCTCGCTGTACAGCCCCTATAATCAGTCAGCAAACTCATTATTTTACGGATAATCATTTCTCAAAGCCCCTCCTACTTTTTGTCCTGCTCTCACTGCTCTCGTGAGGCCTGCATCTGTCACCTGTGCTACTGCAGGATCTTCCCAGTTGGTCTTCTTGCCTCTGGTTCCCTCCATTGTTCATCCCTCATGCCACTCCCAGAGAGTTCTGTCTGAAACACGAGTGCCATCTCCTCTCCTGTTTACAGTCTTCAGCGGCTTCCTTTTCTATCAGTATAAATCGCAAATGCCTTAGCATGTCCCTGTCTCCCGGGAGCCTCGTCTCCCCACCTAGCACATCCTTATGATAATCACAGCGAGCATCTCTTCTTTTCCTCGGTACCCAGGCTGCTTCCATCTTGTCTTCATTCACGGTGTCTCCTCTGTCCTGAATGCCTGTCCTCCCCTCTCACCCCAGACCAGGTGCTGTTCTGTGTTCCCTCTTGCACTTTCACCATCTCTCAGAGCCTCAGTTTCTTTCTCCTTTGAGATAAGAAGTGTAATCCTAGCCCTGCCAACGAGTGGTTCTAAGTATTACGTTCCGAAAAGGCACTTAGTGCTCAATAAATGTTAGCCATGGATATTATTACAAATAATTTCAGAAAAAGATGGCACCTTTTTCCTTTCTGAAGACAGGCCTTTGTAATGATATCAGCATTCCCAGAACCTTGTACTGTGCAGCCGCAAACATAGGTACCCGCTCCGAACTAACTAAAGTCCCACTTCACTTTTCTGAAAGCGTATGCCTGTCACAGGCAGTCACACAGCGGGAGACTGAGCACTTTCGAAGAGGGTGGCTATGGGCAGTGAAATTCTCTGTATAACAATAATTTTGACAGCATTTTAAGACCGAATGAGCCCTGTCTGTGCTGATCAGTAAGTATTTGCTGGATGCTTGTGCATCTCATCTTCACATTACACATGGAAGTTAAGCTTGTGTTACTTAATTGTTATGAATATGAATTGGGTAAACCCTTTTTAAAATGAACATAGCATTTAGCCTTTACCAATGATTTATTTACGGTGAAATTTCTTCCAGGATTATTGTGCAACAAAGTGGTCGATCTTGCGGGAACGTTTTGACCGCGGACTCTACGCCTCACATGCTGATCTCCATAGGCTAAAGTAAGCAGTGGGTGGCTGAGCCCACACGGTTTCCAGAAACCATGTAGCAGTGGTAGCCGCTGGCTTGCCACACCCTGCTTTTGCATCCTCATCCTTCACTGTTTCTCCTCACCCACCCTTGGCTCCTTTCCAGTGGGACAACAGATACTTATGTCCAGATATACCTTATGGGTTTTTATTCAGTTTTGCTTTCCTTCCACCTGGAGTGCCCCTGTTCTTCCCTTGCTTGTTGAATCCCTGGCCAGACCTCAGAGTCAGGTCAGGATCTATCCCTTTCAAGTCTCCCCCTGCCCATTCAGTCAGACTCATTACTCTGTCCGACTCCAGAGCACGCATATGTCTCCCTAGTGGCATTTATCAGATTCCACCCTATTTCATAATTATTTGTTGCTTTTTAAAAATCCTGTCATTATAAGTCATTTAAGTATGCTGGCTATCCTGTTTTTTGTTATATCTCATTACTAACTTAGTTCAGCACTTTGCAATAAGTAAGCCTCTGATAAGTATTTAGAACCACAGAGTATCAGAGCTGCAAAGGACCCTTCAGGCTTTTCATTTTATAATAAAGTAACCTAGGTCCAAAGAAGTTGGAGCTTGTTTAGTGTTTATCAGAGAGTAAATCCCAGAATGCCCAAGAAAAAACATCTGTCACGGCAGTGTATTAAATCATACTGAGACAAAGTGTCCTGAGCTACTGAGTTTGACAGGTGAACTGTTGTGGGACAAGGGGCAAGTAAATCAGCTGGAAGTGCATGTAATTGGTTCACCTGCTCGGAATGCTGGCCTGGTGAAGCCTGTGCACCAGCTCCTGGGTCTCGGGGGAAGGCTGTCTCACTGCACGGTTCAGTGTGACCAGTAAATGAATCCCGCTTACATTTGTGCTTGGTGTTCATAGGTACCAGTGCTTCAAATCTGCTTGGATGTTCGAGGTGTTTCATAGGGGCTTTTCATTTCCTGTCAACTATAAAAATTTAAAGACGGCCTTACAAGTTTACGACAAGGAGGTTCAGTGGACGCTCGGAGCAATCCTTTACAGGACCCGTTTTTTACCCTTAAGGTACGGCTCTGAATTTGGTAACAAGAATCAAAAGATAGGCCTCTCTGCAGTTATGACACAACGTGGTGGTTGGGGTCTGCACTGGCTATGGGCAGGACTGTAGAGGCAGTGAAGTTTGACTCTGGTCTTTCCCACCAGCACTTGCTTCCCACCTCACCCGTCCCATCATATACAGCATGAAAGTGTTCTTTGCCTTTATGGCTTTGGACTCCTTCTCAAAATGTTTTTAAGGTATAAAATAAATAACAGGTTAGCATCTACCTTTGGCTCAGGTCATGATCCTGGGGTTCTTAGGCCCCCTGCTTAGCAGGGAGTCTGCTTCTCCCTCTCCCTCTCCTCCTCCTCCCTGCTTGTTCTCTCTTCGTTTCAAATAAATAAATAAATAAAATCTTTACAAAAATAAAAAATTACAGAGGAAACCACTGTATTGAAATACATTTACCGAAGTGCTACAGAAAAATATTTGAAGTATAGTAATAATGTGTTCTTTTTTGTTAATACATGAAATAACCAATCTGGCAGCAGAACTAGTACTCTGTCATTTCAGTAGTTTGATGTCTGTATTCATGGTTAGTGGAAATGCCAGTCAGAGATTGGCAAATAAACGTGGACATTTTTCCCCATTCACGTTCATAGACCTGGCTGTCAGCTAACCCCCCCCCATAAGATCCCTGGAGGCACTGATAAAGGAGGAATTCACTTTTGGGGTTTTTTCCCCCCTTCATCTAATTGAGCATGTCCCAGCAATCCATATAGCTGCATTACCTGCAAAAATTGTGGCTAATGGGTATTACTGCTCACAGACAGGTGGTCTGATTCCACATTGGCTTCCGTGTGTTAGTAAAACTGTCACGGTTCTTTTAAATTTCTCTGATTTTTGTTACCCAAATTATAGTGACAGTAACTGCTGCAGACTAGCGAATGCACTTTCGCGTGGTCTCTTGTTTAATACACAGCCACCCTCTGTTAGGCCACGTTAACCCCCATTTTAGAGGTAAGGAAACAGAGTCCCAGAGACCGAGAAGACCGATTTGTCTGCAGAGCCGAGTCCTCAGCCAGCTCCCGTGGGTCCATATCCTGTGCATGATGACATCGCATGCCTGCCTGAGGAGGCCTGTTCTCGCTTACCTGTCGTGTTTGTTTTTGTTTCCCTGTGGGCAGAGATATCCAGCAGGAGACCTTCCGGGCCAGTCACGCCCACTGGCGGGGCTTCTCCTTTGTCTACAATCACTACCTGTTCTCAGGCTGCTTCCTGGTAGTCGTGCTCTCCATCCTCCTGTACCTGCTGCGGCTCCGGCGCATTCACAGGCGGACGCTCCGCAGTGCTTCGACTGCCACCGTCTGGCTGGAGGAAGGCCTCCCGTCCCAGAAGATTGCTGGTACCTTATGAACGGGGATTTGAGAGTCCAGGAAGACTTTCTGAAGGAAAAGCCATTTTTGCCTCAGGGTTTCTCCTCTTTATTTTCATTCAGTTTTTTTCCCTTTCCTTTTTGTTCCTTGAAACAGAGACAAAATCCATTGTTTGTAAGCTCTGCTGTCCCAGAGGTAACACATTTAGCCGTTCTGTATACAGCTTTAAATTGAGGAGCAGGGAAAAGGGAAAATCACTACTTTTTGCTGCATAGGATAGCTACTAAGATTTTTTATTTTTCTTTGAGGTATGTTAAATTTTAAACAGATGCACTTTGATATTGGAGGGAATATGGCAAAGCTGTTTCTATCAGAAAAGGTAGCGCTGTCAAGTGATGCTTTCCCAGAACCAGAACCCAATGACTGAATCATAGTCCTCTTTTTGTCTCTCTCAAAAGCTCTGACCTACACAGGGTAGTGATGTGTGATATCAGATCTGTCACTGTAAGTTTTCTTGTAGGCTTAAAAAAAACCAAAGCCATTTCTATCTGAGATAAATATAAGCACCAAGAGGTAACTATTTTTAAAAGTGGTAGTCCTAGAAGATGTGAAATAATGACCAGAGCAGTGTGTATGTGTGTGTAAGACAGAAAGAATGTGTGTGTGAGAGAATCTGGGTGTGTGTGTGTGAGGGAGAAAGAACGTATGTGTGAGAATGAGAATGTGTGTGAGATGTTTGTGTGTGTGAATGTGTGTGAGAAAGAGAATATGTGTATGTGAGAAAGAATGTGTATGTGTGTGAATGTGTGAGAAAGAATGTGTGTGAGAGAAAGAATGTGTGTGTGAGAGAAATGTTTATGAAAGATGAGAGAATGCAATGCTCTTTTAAAAACACACTTTAAAAAACAAAAACACACACACTTTAGAATTTACTGTTTATTTCTTTTAATGTCAAAAAATCCCCATTACCATTATCTTTCCTGACCACAGGTAATGACTTTCTCAGTCCCACCTTTTAGCAGCCTTAGAATATTATGCCTTTGTGTGAGTTGGAAAATTCATCAAGTTTCACTGGTTTTGATGTCATTAGAACTGGAACTAGTGCCTACTGACAGGCAGACACATCAGCATTTCTTAGTGGTACATTTTTGCTGGTTTAATTGCACTCCAGTTTCTTCCAGCTTCAAGCTGGTGTTCCCCTCCGTAATGAAAAATGGTCTCAGTGGTTTTACCTTGGAGATTGTGTACTTAGCTTGACACGTTGTCTTTATTCTGGTCTTGGTTGGGGCTCTGGTGATAATGCCACTGTAAATCCAGACTAAGAGAAAGGTCTGACATTAATAGAAGAAATAAACTCACATTTTGAGAAAACAAGTTTGACGTTTTAAACAAAAACCTAAGGAGGACAGCTGGATTGGCATATGTGAGATCAGTTGTTTTTCACCTATTCATTTAGTTTAGAAGTTTAGGAATTCTCATACCTAGATTTTTTAGGGGAAGTTATTTTTGTGAGTGTGTGTGTGTGTGTGTGTGTGTGCATGCACGCTATTTCTTAGCCCCAGAACAGTTAAATTTGTCTGGTTGGCAACATATGTATATTTTGAGAACCATCAGCTGCTTTTCCAGACATCATTCATTAGAGAGAAAGGGTTCAGACCCTGAAGCCCTTATTTAACTTAAAAAAATTGTATTTATATGTTTATTAACTATTTAAAACATAGGATATATTTTAAGCATATTGATGACTTGAAAAGATCACAAATATATAAAAGAAATGCAAATTCTCTTACTCTGCTCTTCAAAGTGAATATTCAATAGTGAGAAAGTTATGGGTAGAATCTTTGTGTCTCAGATATACAGAAGGTTAGAGGAGCTATGTGGTGGTACAGCCCCTGCTGTGTGGTCTTGTGTCAGGATGGAGGTAAATGTCCCTGTGGAAGATCCAGCTTCTGAAACGCTGATCCTCAGCTATTTAAGTGCTTGATCCCTGGTAAACGCTGTTCCTTACCAAGACCCAGCCACAGGTGAGCTGTGTCTTAGATACCCGAGAAGTAGAGTGAGTTGCTGTGCTTCCCCTTGAAACCTCAGACAGTGTTTCTTCTGCAGACTGTGTGGCATTAGTGGCAAAGAGGAAGTGTGTTTACACTTGAGCTTTTCTACTGCCAACTCCAATTCCTGAAGTATGTGCTTTTTTACCTTTAAAGTCAAGGCAAGGATTAGCCAGCATAGACCCAGATTTAAATGGGCCTTAATTAAGATTTCCTACCATAAATGGCCACTTTTTCAATAAAGGGTGCCAGTTTGGTCCAGCTCTGTACTGTTTGCGGAGCAGAATCGACAAAAACAGATCTGCTTTTATGCCTGGTTTGTGGATCCCTCTGCAAGCACCTACTTAACTCTCCAAAAGAAATCCCCAAATCAGTGTTCTGAGACCCAAACAAACTTCTACGTTACATAGCTAAGTGCCCATGTTCCCCTGCCAAGGAACTCCCTGGAGCAGGGCTTGGCAAACTTGGCCACAGGGAAAGCCTAGAAGCCCTTGAACTGAGAATGGTTTTTCAGTTTTGGAAGGGTTGTTAAAAGAAATTAGAAAGGTTGGGGGGGAGGAGGCAAAGAATATGCAAAGAGACACATGTGACCTATAGAGGCTAAAATATTTACTAAATGTCCCTTTATGGACATCCATTACTTGTTGACGTTCATGGACCCCTGCTCAAGAAGGCATATGCATTGGCATTCTCTTAATTCAGGAAGCTAGTTACTGTTTGTGGGGACAAAGACAGGCAAGAGAAGTGACTAAACTTCAGTCTTAAAATATTTGTGTATGCATCAGAATCGCACTATCTAAGTTATTTTCAAGAACCATTTTCTAACAAGCCAGCAAACATGCCCTCCTTCCCCAGATTTAAAAAGCGCTGTTCCAAGTACTCACCATGTGGTGTTGGGAGGTCTGCAATCTCGAGAGGACTGAACATGGGTCTTTCTGATGCAGGGGAGGGCCAGGGTGAAAGGCAGGTCCTCGAGGAGCTTACTTCAGGAGAATTCATATCAAGGGCTGGTCAAGAAGGCAGGGAACTCAGAATACTTGAAGTAAGAAGCAAAATAAATTAGACTGGTGGAAATTTGCTAATAATAGCCTTGTGGAAGAAAAACACTCTGTGTTGAGCCTTGCTGGAAGTGTGCTACAGGAAATACTGTTGTCCCATCCTCAGTACTGTGCGATGCTTCTTTCTAAACCTTCCAAGGACACTAGCAAAGATTTTACAGTCCATTGGAGGACATCACAGTAAAAGTACAAACACATACCCATTTGAACTAGTGCTTGTTGCATATTTTTGCCCTAAACTGCAAGCCGTAGGCCTGGGGGTAAACTGGAGAGGTGCCTGCAGCTAGGCCCGGCCCCTCTGGAGGCTGGGAGAGTCAGTTGTTCACTACCCGTTTCCACATCTGCACACTCAGGTAGGCAAACTCTAGATTGATAGGTATTTAAATTTTAAATATCAGGCCTACATAGAATAAATAGTTTTCCTTAGAAGAAGCATGTATCACTTAGCAAGAAACTCAAAAAGGCAAATGTGTTTTCTAAGCTTTTAAAAAAATCAGCTTTAGGATTTTGTGTGGTTATGTGCAATGCAGCAAAACTACCTACACATAAATTATTTCGTTATTTATTTCTTTCTTCCATGTTTCATTTTTTATGATTTTTTTTCCTGTTCTGTAATGAATGATGTGACCAACCCAGGAAATTCTTTGTTCTATTACTGAGATGATATTTTACAGTTAAGAATTACAAAACTTAAGGAGATCTTTAAATGTTTTTTTATTATTATTAAAATAATGTTTTCCATTCAAGGTAAGAATAATTATCTTTGGGGTATTGTGGTAGTGTATCATTTCCGTGTTTGGCCATCCCATGTTGTCAGACGTATACGCAGATGGCTGTCTAGAGCCAATAAAATGAAAGCTCATCCACTGGCCCATAGACTGTGTGAACTTGCTTTCTTACCACTAAAATAGGTTTTTCTCTCCCGTTTGAACCTTGTTACCTGTTAGAATGCTTAGTTGAACTTGAATCTAAATTCAGTAAAATAAATCGTCTGAGTCTGACCGCAAACTCTGCATTTGCTGTATTTATGTGCTTGTAATGAAGCACTGTTGTCTGTATTCTGGAGGGAGGATTCTTTGTCCAGCAGCACAAAAGTCAGATATTTCCCCAGGAGAAATATTTACCAAGGTGTAATACCCACCTGTGTGTCAACAATAAAGGTCGTTCGGAGACAAATGTTGCTAGGGTTATCGTTTTTAAAATAACTATTAACCATTAATATAGCCCAGAAACTGAAATTAACCAACTTTAACACATTTTCCCTTAAAACTGTAAAATCAAATGTAGACTTTACATTATACAATTCTTCAGTTAGATCTAGGCTTAAAGTCATTGGTTTATTTCCAGACAACTGTGAATGTCACTGTTCATGTTACTAGTAAGTAACTATTAGAAACTCTTTCAGCTGTCTGAGAACATCAACAGAGGTTTTCCCTGGCCGGGGGGGTGCGGAGTGCTGCTGAGGCATAACCCAAAAACACACAATAGAGACAGAAGGAGAGGGAAGGGACCAGCTGTTGACAACAAAAAGAAGAGCCTAAGACATACGTACAAGCGGGGTGAGGGACCAGCAGGGCAAAACGGGAGTGCAGGGCGAGCACAGAAGCACGGGGCTTGGAAGGCCAAGAATGGGGTGATAATGTTAAAAGAGAATTTAATTTCTGAGGCAGTTCGGTAAATGTAGGTCTTTGGGCCTGAGGGTAAATACATGAAAATATTTAAGGCATCTGAAGATGTCTCAGCTTTACTCTGCTTGATTGAAGAGAAGGAAGTACCTGTTTCTAACGGCTGCAGGTGTTAACAGGTCTGAAAGGCAATGGGTTGAGGATTTTTGTTTGTTATCTGTTTCCATTTGTCCCGTGAATCTGGAATGCACCAGCGGCGCTCTCTCTCTCTCTCTCTCTCTCTCTCTCTCTCTCTCTTTGAGATCCCGAAACGCTAATGGTTTGCACAGAGGGGTTTTGGCGCTCACACTGGTCTGGGAGCAGAGACGCGAACGTCATCTCTATCAGAGTCAGACTGTCTCCTTACGGAAAGGTCACCAGAGGACAAAGGAGTGTCCTCTTATCCCAAAGGGCCACTTGGCAGATGGGGCCGTTGCCTGGAGCATTAGCGCCTGCAGGAAATCAGATACCTCGAGGTGTGTCCCAGCCCCACCTCAGTCTGGTTGCCTGCCTGAGAGGCTCAGCCTGCCATCTCACCTCCTTGTAACAAAAGAAGAGGTGACCTGTTAAGGTATTTTCATTTGTTCTTAACAAGCAGTTAGTTCCTGCTGCCTGGTGCAGTGTTGCCTCTATTGCTACATCCATTAAGGCGGATGAAGCCCTGCCACAGCCCAGACGGGGGCTGGTTTGGCCTCCCCTCTTTGCCCTTCACCCTTGATCGTGTTTGGCAGGTGAATTACTTCTGGGCTCCAGACTTCACGGCCACTTAAATGTTTCTATCAACAGCCCGTTGTGTGTTAGAGACCCAAGTAAGAAGCCTCAGAGAAAACCCAGCCTTTGGAAGGATTTCTGCCCTGAGAAAAATACTGAAGGCTCCTCACGGAGCATAATGGTGATGGTCACAAAAGACCGGCCTCTTATCTAAATAGGTAAACTCTACTGAATGGAGGGAAAAGAAGACTTTTTTTTTTTTTCCTCCTGAAAAAAAGGAGAAGGGGAAAGAGTTGGTCTGTGACCAGGTCATCAGAAGACAGAGTACCTTCCTCATTCCCAGTGTGGGACTGCCTCTTTCACTGTATTATTTCTGGAAAGTGCCCAGGCCAGCTATTCCCAGTGTTCTCACAGGCTTATAATTGGTAGTTTTGATACCACCTTTCACCTTTTTGGCCTCCATGGTAATCAAAATTTGAAGTGGGCAATTTTGAAAAAAAAAAAAAAAAGTGAAGAGGGCAATTTTGGAAAGATGAATCCTGTTCTTGCCTGTATTTCACAGCTTCAACTCCAGGGACCATACCTTGCACTTCCTCTGAAGATTCCATCTTTTCCACCCGACACAAGCTTTATTTATTACTTAGATCTGAGATTCAAAAAGACTGAGATGCTTAAATATTTAATGGGTTCTGCTTATCCTCGTTAAGTTTTTTATTTTGGTCATGGCAGCACTAGAGGATTTTCTGGAATTTCCTGGCCTTTCTCCGTTCTGTTCAAATTACATGTTTAAATCACCTCCAGCCTTTTGTGGCCCTATGGTCCATCAGTGTGCTTGTTCACCCTCAACCTCCTTGCACATGAATCCTGATGTGTTTACTTTCTGTGTTTTTATATTTATAACTAACCCAGTGAAGAAATACTTTGTAGCCTATAGGTTTTCCTAAATATTTGTCCTAATCAAAATCTGGTTTCTTTGCCACATCACTTTAGGCTTCTAGAGTTTGCAAAGTAAATCTTTTTACAAATCTTTCACTCTCGGTGCACTTTCTTCTTTGAGAATTGCTGAGCTTCATGCATCTTAGAGGCACAGGCCTCTCAGGAATCTGTCCACTTCCTCCTGCCACCATGAAGTTTGCTAAGGGAGTGCTGCATTTTAGAACTATGTTTAGAAAAACTTAGGAAAATCAAAGTTACTTCAAGTGGCTTCCTTTCTTCTTAACCCATTCAGTCCTGAAGAAAAGGAAAAAGAAACCCCAGAATCCGGTAGAAATGAGTAGGGGCAAAGAAAGATGAATGTTTCCCAAAGCCCAGCTTAGAGGAATTAATTTCTGTATATTGATCTTATTCTAAACATAATTTCAGATTTTTTTTTTTTTTACTCTAAATTATCCTTAAAAGTCTGTCACTTTCTAACTACAAACCTCCCTCCCCCACCTAAAGCATCAAATGTAAGAGAGACAGGATGAATAAGGAGGCGCCTGGGTGGCTCAGTCAGTTGAGTGTCTGCCTTCAACTCAGGTCATGATCCCAGGGTCCTGGGATTGGGTCCCACATTGGGCTCCCTGCCGAGTGGAGAACCTGCTTCTCCCTCTCCCTTACCTGCTCCCACTCCTGCTCCCCCTGCTTGTGCTCTCTCTCTCTCTGTCAAATAAAATCTTTAAAAACAAAACAAAAAAAGAGGGTGAATAAGGAAATACCAGAAGAGGGGTGCCTGGGTGGCTCAGTCAATTGAGCATCTACCTTCCACTCAAGTTATGATCCCATGGTTCTGAGATGGAGCCTCACATTGGGCTCCCTGCTTAATGGCGAATCTGCTTCTCTCCCTCTCTGCCTCTCCCTCTGTCCCTCCCCTACTTGTGCTCTCCCTCTCAGGCTCTCTGTCTCTCAAGTAAATAAAATCTTAAAAAAAAGAAAAAAGAAAAAAAAGAAACCCCAGAAGTAAGGATTTCTGTTCACTAGTCATCAGTCAAAGCTAACAGATGGCAGACCGAGAAGGTATTTGCAGTGACTAAAATTGACAAGGGATTAATATATATTTACAAGGATTCTTACAAATCCAAAAGAAAAAGAAAGTCAAGAAAAGTGGGCTATGGGTCTTAATAGGTGGTTCTCAGAAGGTCGGGCCCAAATGGTTAACAAGAAGAGATAAATGCAGGAGCCAGAGAAATGAAAATGAAAATAAAGAGCCCCTCGAATGCCATACTTTAAGGGTCAGTCATGATGTGGGGACAGTAACTTCTGTATTGCTGCCCGTGGGGTAAACCGCCGCAGGCACTCTAGAAAGAGAGGTGGAGGCACTTTAAAGTTGGCTGTTTGCATGTCCAAGGGCCAGTGCTCCCCACAGCAATGTCTATCCTGAGCCAAAGGGCGGCTACAGAAGGATGCTCTCAGCAGTGTCACTCAAGCTTCCGTTGCTGGAGGGAAGCAAGGTCTTGGATAAGTAAGTGGCAGGGGCTGGCAATGGATGACTATGCAGCTGTTAAAAACAATGACCTAGAGGTAAATACAGCAACATGGGTGGACCTTAAAAATAGTATTGGACACTTAGCAAAGAAACGAAATTTGTAGCATAATGCCATTCACGTAACCATGGCACACAACACCGTGTCACGAGGATACTCAGTATATGTCTGTTGTGTCTATGGAACATTAAAATGGATGTTTTGAGGATACAGATTGGTTCTGGAAAGAGGACTAAGAATAAAGCTGGTCTTGGTTTTCAACTGGCCAACCGCACCTGTTTGCCCAGTCTTCCCTGGTTTAAGTACTGACAGCCTCACATCCCAGTAAAAAGCCTCAGTTCAGGGCCAATGGGGATGGTTAGTTACCCCATTCCCACCCTGTCCTTTCAACATGGCAGCCTTGAAAAACATTCAGATAATGACTCTTGGCAGCATCCAGCCAGCTGTCTATTTCACTCAAAGGAAGAACCAAAATTTTTGTAATGGCCTATGAGCATACACACTATGCTTCCCCCAACTCCACATCTCTCTGACCACCTGTAATTTCTCTCCCTGGCTCACTCTGCTTCAGCCCCACTGGCCTTGGGACCTCAGTGACTCACTGCCCCAAGAAGGCCTACCTGGCCACCTGCTTAAAACTGATACTCCTTCCTCTCCCAGCACTTCCCATCCTCCTTACTGTGCTTTCATTCTCACCCCCCCCCCCATGGTACCGCCTTCCAGCATACTCTATATTCATTATGTTCATTGTGAATCTCTCTACTAGAATGTAATCCATGGGGACAGAGGGTTTCTGTGTTCATTTTGGTGTTCTAGCCCTAGGATCTGATACATAATAAAGGCTCAATAAATATTTGTGGAATAAAAGAAAAAAGATCCTGTGGGAAGGGGAAACTGTGGGCTGAGAACCAAGGAATATGCTTCACTCCACCTTCTGCCCCTGGGGTGTGGGACAGGAAGCAGGACTCAGACTCCTTCCTTTATTGAGGGAAAGTGCTTCCTGTACAGAATCACCCCAACAGCATAATAGTGGTCTCGG